TCATTTTAAATTGTTTTATGCTCGTGTTTGTCTGAAACCATGTTATTTGTGCTGCTGCCTGTCCTGAAAAAAAGTATTTTATTCTGGTTAAATAAGGTAAATTAAAAATAATTCTTGTTGTTTCCAACACTGATTAGAACAACAAAAAAAAAAAAGAAAGTTGTGTAACAATTAATAAATTGTTCAAATAAAATGCAAATATTAGCTAAAATACAAAAAGCTGCCCTACATTAACTGAGTTTACTTGGAGTTATTTTGAGTCCAGAGATCATTTCTCATCGCTTAATTTCTCAGACCGAAGGGGATATTTACAGTTGTGACCTTCCAGAAACAAATCTGTTTCTCTAACCATTATTGTCACCACCACTGAGTTAAGTCTAAAAGAGGTCAAAAGGTCAAGCTAAAACAAACACACTGGGTGATGGAGAGCTACAAAGGAAGCTTTTAGATTGATGTTTGCAATACCTCAAAATAACAAAAGGCTGTATTGTTGTGGGAATGTGTCTGGATCTGGTCCCAGGAGCTTGAAACCTAACTGAAGGCCGAGAACAAGCCGCTACAAGACCACTATGTCTGAGGGTTGCACAACTCTAGAAATGTGTTTACGGCGTTGTTTTCTTCTTTTTCATCGTGATCTTGACATGAATGTTGAAACGTTTTAACCGTGTGGATCGCTGGTGTGTGTGTCGCATTGAACGTTACGTCGCGGCAGTTGTGTGTGGTGTCGCTATGACGACAAGCTACGTACTATCTCTGGGTACTATCTGCACTGGAAAACGGAGCAGGGCCGAGTAGAGACGAGTCTATCGATTTACGCTATGGTAGCATTTTTCGGCAAGGCAGCATAGATCGTCAGAACACCGTCAACAGTTCAACGTTTAGTCCTGATGGAAAGATGTGGAACAATGATGTTGTGGACTTGTGAGTAACTTATACCATCTGCTAGGTTACGGTCGCAGTCTGAAGCGGCTTTGATTGGATCACACTACCTTGTTTCTTACGACACGCCCTTCTCTGCTTCTGATTGGCTAGTAGTCCTTACCTGGGAACTGCGCATGTGCAACTCCCAACAAAGATTTTGTACAAGTAAGATTCATCACTCTGTAGCTCAAGAGCGGAGCGTACAACACATATGGTGAAAAGAGGAGCTGCAGCAATGTGCAGTATGAGAAAAATATGGTGCTGGTGTCATCTGCCAGTAAGGCTCCAATATCATCTCTTTGTCTTGAAATCACACATTTTTAATTAAGCTATATTTATTTGCAAAGCAGCATGAGGAATCATTTTCTCAGCTTGAGCTGTCCTGCATTACAAAACAAGATCCAGACAACTAAATAATACATTTCTTTAAAAGGGGAACCCCCCTCTGTCGTGACATCTCCTCCTTCCTCTTGCTCACCTGGACTTTCAGGCGTGGGCAGGTTCTGTCTCCATAAAGACCACGTGCGATCACGGGACACGGCCAAAAGGAGTTGTGCATCGGGGGAGAAGGCCATCTGGGTGACGGTGAGGGAATGGCAGGGCAGCGTCTGCAGCTGACGCCATGTGGCTGTACTCCACAGCAGAACTGCTGCATGCTCAGCTTTAGATGCCTGGAAAGACAGTTTAGATTAGTTTATATACAGAGAAAAAAAAATACACAATACAACATCTTTAAAACGCATCTTGAAACCCACTTCTCATTCTTTTTCTTGATTTTACAACTTTTACTTTGTGGGTAATACACTTACTGTATTTCTCCTTGTTTTATACACTGTCTTCCCTGTCTTTCCTTTCTCCCTCCTAGCCATATCTTCTTCCTGCAAATTACTTTGGAACTTTTGTCTTGAATAAATGTTACAGAAAGTTTGCGTTCTTGCTTGCCTCTTAAAAAAAAAAAAAAAAAGATGTAGAGGTGGGTTGTGGGATGAGAACGGCCGTAACAGGGAAGAAAAGAGAACATACTTGTGAGGGGAGAGAGGAATAAAGGAAAGAGGTGCAGAGGAAAGAAAGTAGGACAGCTGGAGGAAACAGGAGATGAAGGGAAGAGAGAAAGGGGAGGAACGCAGGGTGAGAAGGTGGGTGAGGTAGAAAGAAAGAGTCGAACTTAATCAGAGTGACTATATGCCACAGAAAGACAAAATTGTCTACACAATCAAGGTCAGGACAATGTAGGTTCCATCAATATCTGCCTGACAGCAGTGTGTGTGCTGTGGTGTGAATATGTGCAGGCAGAGTAAATATGTCATGATGCTCTCTCCTCTCTGATCTAATGCCCTTTGCTGGGGTAGGGGGTTGGACATGGTCTCTCGCCTTGATCTTATCACACTGACCTTGCATGCAGAGGCTACTACCGTCCTAGCGCTGTCTGCAGCGAGGCAGAACATCTCAAAGCCATGGCCGTACCTGGGGGAGACAGAGAAGGACAATTGTGAAGAGATTACTCATAGACAATGATTCAAGATAACAGCCACACTGAATATGTGGAAGGACCGACCAGCATCTGAGAGACAGACAGGTGAAGGGAGGAGGACAACAACAAAGAGAGGACTCCCCGTCTGGCAGAAAATTAAGTATTCTGTTTTTCCAGAGCGTTGCCCCAACAAGCTCCCAGCTTCGAGCCATCGTCGCGTGCTGACAGGTAAATAAGCGGAGTGTGAAATTAAAATACTGATCTGAGATGACTGGTCCTTCTACCGCTGACAGAGATGAACAATGATGATGCTGCAGCTAATCACTCACAGCCTAATTACTTTTAGCTTGCTGACTATCACCTGGCTGTTTTAAATGTCAACAAGTCAGCAAAGTGAAATCACAGCCTGCAACTCAAAGGAGAGAAATTCCTCCCACGACGACGAAGCTTTCAAACACTGTGGCAATTTGCCCGTGACAGTGAGAGTATTATTTATGCCACAAAAATAATTTGGCCACTTACTCATTTTAATGTTCCTATTATGCACTAAATGAGTGAAGGGGGTGAAGCCAAATGGAGGTAAAAAAAAACAAACGCTTTTCAACACACACAATGTCCATGCTTCGTCATGTTTATGGCCGATTGACAGGTAAATGGATTTAGCATTGGCCACAAATGGAGGCAATATATTTAGCCTGGGGAAGAGGCTCATGGGATGGCAGGACGTTGGATCCTGATTGGCTGATGAATAGAGGGAGACAACCAAGAGTTTTGGAAAGTCTGTCATTTTCTGATCCAATAAACCCTTTTGGGCAAAACATTTCCCTCCGGAAATGTTGCTTCATTAAGACCAATATGGAAACTCGGACTTCTTTTATAAGAAAGGAAGAATATAAAAAGTGGGTTGTATGTTGTCTCAGGACTCTGGATAGTTTGTACAAGCAGGTAACTGTTTTTGGAAACACTGTCAGCAGAGACATATTTGGATACTCACAGTTTCTGTACCTCAGGCCAGAGTGTGTTCTGGAGAAGGTGATCCTCTGGTGGGGGCTCTACACGTGCATACACACAAACACACAGACTTCAAAATCCTTATATAACTGTCATTTGCAGGGCCCTGAAAACTGAGATGTTTTAAAATTCTAATACAACCAGTTTCCAATTTACTAAATGAGGATTATACCAAAGTGGCTATTATAATTTCCCTCTTTTAAATCCCTGTACTATTAACCCAAAGAGCGACAGATTGGATACTGAACGTGTGCATTTGTGTATGTGACAGACAGTACAAGTTTAAAAGGGGGGGGGGCGGGGGCGCAAGCTTCATGGTAGACTGAGAACACAATCGATCGCCCTAAGACAAGGTTCACATTCAGCCTCTTTAAACATTTAGCTTTCATGACATCCTTAGCCCTGCAACTTGCCACCCCCCTACCCAAAAAAAGCTACTGCAGCTTTATCTTTGATTCTTAACAGCTGCTGGCTTTGAGGGGGATCAAATCTTGCTGGGTGCCATACCTCTCCTTCACCCCGCAGGCTCCCCACAAGCCTGTGCTGCCTTTGTATTGCATGTAATTAAAAGCTAGACTCCTTGTGTTTTTCTTATTGGTCATCGGCTTCTCATTTTGCCTAGTTATTAATTTGTCCCCCTGCCTGCAGAAGCCAATCAAACGAGTGAAAATGCGGTCTCTGCACTAGGTTGCTCCCTACGTAGCCCGGGGTCACCGATACTTAAACTTCGCAATCACATAAGCCTGCTTCCTAATTAGCATAGCAGATTAAGGAGTGGCTTCAATCATGCTGATGACAGCCCTCAACACCCTCTAGCCCAGGGGTTTTAAAGCACCATATACGTTCTCTTCATTTGACTCTCATCCATTCCCCATCTGCCCATTTCCTACAATTTCTATTTTGCCTTTGTTTCTTGTACTCTTTTTCCTCTGTGTTTCACTGCCGTCCTCTCCACACATAAACTCAATGCCATTTTTTGATCCCAAACCCATCCATCTCATCTTAGATTTGAGATTTTTCTCTGATTTGCAGTCATTGTGTAACGAGAGCCTGCAATTGTCCTGTCTATTTTTTGCTTCTGCTCACATCACTGCTTCCTGACTGACACCTATTCTCCCTCTTCACCCACTGCCCCTTTCCTCTCATCCCCTCTCCTGCTGTAATATTGTCGGCCTCCAGGAGACCTCTGGCACTGTGGCAGAAGAGCTGTAATAACTAACTGTCCGTCTGGCAGCCGCATATCATTGTCTCTTATAAGAACATCCAGCGACAGGCAGACAGGAACTTTTAAATGTGTACTGAGGCTGCAGAGTGGATTGCAACGAGGAATATGAATCAGGCTATCAGACTGCAGGGGAGACAGGAATGCACTTTGGCTCTAAAATTATTTATCAGGTAAATTAAATCAGAGTTTACTGAGATGACTACTTATTTGTAGAAATGACCATATTATGTTGGGAAAATACTTAAAAATGTTATTTTTGCAGCTTTACAGTACCAGTCATGATAAGCGGGTGGAAGTAAGACTCCCGGTATTGATCAGATAAGCTGTTGAACTGCCCTTCTTCTTCATTGGTTTTTGGGACAAGGTCGCCTGTAAAAAAAAAAATTCTGTAAATATATTTGACTATTTGAATATTACATTATATAAAAAGGAATGGAAATACTAAACAAACCCTCAGTATAAGGCACAGACAGCTGTCTCAAACTACTGTATGGATCATACAGGCTCATGGCTCATGAAAATTGATCAGACAAAACCTGGCCACAACCCTGAGCTCAAAAAAAGAGCAGAGCTGAGCAAGTATTTTACCTTGAAATACAGCCTTGTTGGAGAGACCCAAGGCAGGTGTGCTGGCTCCTTCTGGAAGGCTGGCACAGTCCTGGCAATGTGCAGATAAATTAACAAACAGAGACACACACATCAATAACTATGCAGGAATTTTAAGGAGAGTGGGAAGTCCACTCAGCACATTTTACAGTTGGAAAACAAAGTGAAAGAGACTCTACAAAGAAAGTGAGATCTGGCCTTTGGACAGAGGGCAAACATGTAGCTCTCTACAGGTCATGGATTTGATCACTTAACTATTTTGACAAATGGGATAAAAATAACTTGAAAATAATAATCATAGATAGACATTTCATTGGCACTCACACTAGATGTCAACAGCTTTTCTCTGGAGCTCCCAGAGATATTAGCAAAGTTCTCCACAAAATTCCGCGGCGCTTGAAACACTCGCAGGACCTTCTCGTCAGCTCCAGACACAAACTGAAACCTTCCAACCATGGCAAGACACTGCATGTCGTATCCATGGATCTGCGGCCGTGAGATCTCATGCCAGGTTTCCTGCAGGGTGAAAAAGACAGAAAAAGATATTATGAGTGACCAGAACAGGCTGCATGTGGTTGTCGGAGCCAGCATTTCACAATCTCTCTGATGTGGTGGAGTTTTGTTTCGTTTGTAACCAAGCCAAAACCCTGAACACTGAATCTGAATCTCCAGTTCAAATAAAACATTTCCAGCTTGAGATGCAAAGTGTTCTCACCAGAGAAGATGGAAGGAATGGCTCCACTAAAATGACCGGATTTCCTTTGGTATCGGCATGAGGTGGCAATATTCCAAACAGGCATCTTGAATAATGTGATAAAGACTGGAACCTTGATTATGCTTCTGCCCAAACTGAATGCTAAACTGGGATGTTTTACCTCGCTTCTAACAATTTAATCTCGATAAACCTGAGGTGAAGAAGTGGGCGAAGACATTTCTGCAGTACAGCTGGGGCTCATCAATCAACACCTGCAACTCAAGTCTTGATTCCTTCCCTCAAAAATATATAATCACTTCTCAGAAAGTATTTATTATTAAGTCACAGCCTGCTGAAATTCAATCAGACACAGAGCCTAAACATATTTTAGTAAACCACTGCAAGTAGAGAATCTATTAGGTACACACTATATACACTATATCCCACAAAGGTTAATACAATTGGCACATGTTAAAAGGACAGCAGCATTACAGGAGACTGTTTGCAATGTAGGACTGCTTTATGGCAATATTAGATTTATAAATAATTGCATTAATGTGATGTATTACCTTGATTTTTCCAGGTATTATTCATCAGATTAGCTAACAACAGTTTTCCATCAGGTAATAATATATAATTCCAAACTATGCATATAAAACATAAAAATAACTGTCACTAATTTTGAGCTACAATCAGCTTTGCAATTTCTCTTCTACTTCAACATGTTACAGGTGATTCTTTTCCTATTTTACCTGTTTGGCATCTTGTTTCCTCCATGGAGTGAAGAGTCTGGTGGTCTGATCTGAGCCCACACTGAGGATGAACTCACCCTCGGGATCCCAGCTCAGGTCCTGGACTGCATTAAAGTGACCCGATATCACAACCCCAGGCCTCCATTCTCCCTAGTCAGGCAGCATTGCAATAGTCAGTTCACAACTTTCAACTGATTTCTTGTCTAAATTTCATACACACCAGTGCCACATGACGGAAACCTCCAGAACGTATATGATTGGCACCTACAAATGGGCGAGTGATTATAATTTAGGTATTGCGGTCTGAGAAGACAATCTCCTTTGAAACATCTGAATTACCGGTAGTTATCAACACCTTCAGGTTTGTGCTGAACTTTAAATTCACTATCCAAGCTGGCGTAATTGAAATGCAGTTATCTCTGAACATGCGTTGTGACTTCAGACCCCGACTCTTTCTCAGGGACAGCCAACAAAGACACATGCGAAGCCAGTCAAATTGAGTGGCAGAGAGGAGACCTGGTGTGACTAATTACACAGTGTGGCTGTGTAGCAATGTGCTAACACGGAATCTCATTTCAAACACACTTACTGTTCCAGCGCTTCAAGGAAGAGTTTTACATTTCTTGTGTGAATGAAAGAAACGATATGTATTGTAACTGAACAAACTACAAAAACTACTGGCAGTATATTGATTTAGAAAGTTTACGCGTGACTGAGGCCATGACTCTCACCTCTTTCTCTTGGTGTTTGCACCAGAGATGTAGCGCTCCATGAAAAGCGTGAGCCACAATCATGGAGCCATCCGGACTCATCTGGCAGCCATAGAAACCCAGAGTGTTGCCTCCAACCTCCCCTACACGCACCTGGTGTGGAAGAAAAAAATAATAATAATAAATAAACACCTTGTGTGGATGATGATTACTAATCCGAAGAGTAAACTCACTGGCTTTTGAACACACTCGTATTGGATATCAGGTGGACAAAAGAACATTTGGTTTCTGGATCAGAGTCACTGACTTGTTGTGGGCAAAGATGAAAGTAACATGTAAAAACAGGAATGTGCATCAACTGCCACATATGGAGAAAAAAGCAACAAAGTCGGTTAATTTAAAGAAAATGTGATATTTCTGAGAGTTAAATTAGCACATCCTTTCATCCTATGCAACATTCAGACATGCAGCAGATAGTTCGGTTGTTGTGGCAAACACCTGTGTTTTGTGTAAACCTGCAGGCTACAGGCTCAGATTTATAGAAAAGAAGAGGACTGAGGGAAAGCAAATCTGTTCTCGGTCTCCCTTCAAGACTTATTAACTAACAGCTCCCACAATGGTGGACAGAAGCAGAAACCCCCCCCCCAGCAAATTAAGCTGACAAGTCAGATGAGAAATTATGCAAAATGGGACTCATTATAACTGAATAAACTGTGTTGTCTAATACAAAATGAAAGCAATTGCAGCGCAGCATATCACACTAAACAGATAATCAAGAAAAATGGCAAAGCTTGAGAAAACAGAGGGATTTACATAAAATTGGATTCGGGTGAGAGCCTGTGACCCCTGCCTCATGTTCATAGAGCAGATCATGTAGACAATGAAGGGTCCATGGGGCCTGAGCCTCCACTGCAAATAACTATCCAATTTAAAAATGCCCAAAATGATGAGTCTCTCAGTTCAGAAAAAAAATGGTAGAAAATAGAAATTGCTCCTTTAGGATTCTGACCATCTTGCTTTTGTGTGTCAAGACAATTCTGTATTGAATTTTGTGGATTCAAATCACTTTCTGGAGCAGAAAGCCCACTTTGATTTAAGTGCAGTTACCAATTACACTGACAAATGAAAATGTACTTGTTTAAACTCTTTCTGAGGTCATTCTGACTCACATTTAAGTTTCTTTGAAGTTTTTCTTTGCAAATCAGACACCAAACATAAAAAGAAGAACAGAAATAAACAAGTGCATTCAAAGCCAACATAAGTGTAGGAGGCAAAACAGAGGATTGCGACCAAAAATGAACAATAGTCAGCCATAATGCAAAGTAAATAGCTTCTATTTATTTCTAAAAATGTGTAAAAAACTTAATTACAATCTGTATTTGTTCATTCTTTCATTAATATCCATAAAAAAAACACAAATTACATATTAAAATAGAGAAAAAACAGATAACATTAATATCTCATCCTGTTGCTTGCATAACCAGTAGGATTCAATGCAGGATTATGGCACTAGACAGAAATAACGAAACAATGTGGAAATTAATTGAAACATTTAAAATCTGAATAGAACAGGAATTCTTGTGTAAGCAACAGAGAGCTTTTCAATCCATGCATGAGCTGTCCATATTTTCACCTGCAGCTGGCTGGTACAAGGAGACATACACTTTGAATCATCTTTGAAATATAATGGACAGGGCAAGAGAGCAAGTCTATACTCCTGCATAAAGAGACATACATATTCACAGACATCAGTAAAAGTCAGAAATCTTCATTATTATCATCAACTCACTCTTGACAACGATACTTCAATACCTAACCAAACAAAGAGAAACTATTTGCTTATAACTAAACTAAAATACTCAAGGACTTTAAGGGGGATTCTAAAGAGCAGGCCAACTTCTCACTGCCATGAGGAATTTAAACAATTAAAAGCTTTATCAGGCCCTGAGGCCTTGGAGGTAAACTAGGCCCAGAGGGCAGACCTATTCAAATCGATTGCAGCAGAACCCACCCTAGAGAGCGCTACACTGCTCCCTAAGCAGCACTGTGGTCTGTATCCTGATACGGCTAGGTAATATCTCCGGCCATCTTTAATTAGCTTGTGCTTTAAATGATATGGACATTGGCTGTGAGGAAATATGAGAAGTGCTAAATTCACACTGGAATGATTAAAATCTGGAATGATGTACAGCTTAGCCTGTTATCTTTTCTTAAAGTAGGTAAGTAGAGTGAGAGCATGTTGAGCTGCAGCAGAGAACTGAGGCAGACCGCAGGAGAAACACACAAGAATGTGCGTGCATCAATTAATAATAATAATAATAATAATAATAATAATAACAATAACTTAACTACTTATTTAGAAAGCAAATAAGATCCAGAAGTTAAGATTTAAATATTTAACTTAAATAATTACTACAACAAAAATCAGTTATGTGTAACAAACACCTTGAAAGACTACACACCAATACACCAGCAGAGACACACACACATATTTTCGCAATGTCTGTCTGCTATATGTGGAAGTAAAGTGGTGTTCTCAATCATCCGGCCCTCTTAGGGAGCTTGAGTTGGTCATCAATGACCTTCAAAATAATACCTGTCTGCAGGCTGAAACACAGCAGAACTAATGACAGCAATAAAAGGCATGCCTTCACTTTGAATGGCACGATCCTCCAGCCATCCAGGGAGAGAGACAGACAGGTACAAACATAGATGGTGAGATTGAGAGAGAATGAGATGCAACATTAAGCAGATTGATTCTAAAATTCTGCACACAAGAGTCCACCATAAATCATGCAAAAACTCACAGAGGCAAAAAGCCATCATCTGTCTTGTTTACGAGAGAGGGAACAATATGGATGCACGGCATGCCTTATCGCTGGCCAGCGGGGGTACGGGGGAGGAATAGAACAAGGGCAGCAAAGAAGGGAAGGCATATATCATTCTAGGAAGGAGAGAAAGAGGGTGATGAGTGCTCAGTGAGCTTAGCCAAGCCAGGAAAACCCAAACAATGTGGAGCACATGTTTTAAAATCCTCAACCTTTCAGGTTGAAATGCTGGCCGACACCCGAAGGGTCTTCTTCCCTTCAATTTCTCATGATGTTCAACATATTTTCAATATTTACAAAATAAAGTAAGGACGAAGGATTATTTTTTATTATTTATTGATCTGTTGATTTGTCTCAACCAATCAACAACGGTTCTAACTGTAAAATTTGTATTCAAATAATAACCTTAAAAAGCTTATATGGCAAACACGTTACCTTACCTATTTTTTAAACCAGTAGACAGTGCGCAACATTAAAATTAATTTTATGTCGTGTTTTTGGCCACCTGGCAAATGTAAGTTGAATATTCACTCTGTTGTGGTCTCCACCAACTCCTCTTTAGCTGCGAAATGCTCCATTACGCTCACCACCTACCTACTAACTTTATTTTTCTGCCATTGGGTGCTGTAGCATACACTGGCTTTGTTCCTTTTCACTGAAAACAGAACATGTTACTGAAAACAGCTGCCTGAAACAGGTGGAAATGAGAGCAGTGAGTGTGAACCAAAAGACCAAAACAATGAGCTAAAAGAGGCTAAAAAGCTCCATAGAGCCATGGGGTACTGCACATTCAGCTGAATATTATCTGTTTTTTCAGTAAGACGGACTCATTTCACATTAAAATTTAATTAATTTATGGATTGTTAAGCTTTAAGCAAATAATGAGCATGAAATCTACTCTTACCTGGCATTCTTCCCAAAGGGATAAAGTTAAAGAGTAACTTAACACTCCCTGAAAATCTATCTTGAGGCAGTCTTGGTCTAAAGTCAATAGCACAGTATTTTAAGTATTTAGTATTTTGTTATTTTAGCATTTTGTTATTTTGTGCATTACTCTGATAGTAAGATGCGTCCGCATTTACGCACGAGGCACAGCAGCGTAACTTCACAGATTATTAAAATCTCCCGACATGCCGTCAGGAACGGTCAGGATCTAATGTTATTTCATGTTCTGGGTTCTACACATCCAAAAGGTCTCACACACAGTCCAGGTTCATACTGTGAAACAGTTTGGAGTAAAGCAGCTGTCCTCCTGAAAATCCTGAGCTCCATCAGGGCATCTAAATTATTTCAGAAGCTAAAAGTTGAATTATGTTTCCTCTCGAGAGTTTCCTCTGTTCTGTCATGTCAAGTTTATAACTACAGCTTTTGCTGCTTAAATGCTCCACGACATTTGCCGTGACTTTACTGCGCACATGGAAACATTTAAAATGACTGACAGCAGCCTCTCTAATCATCAAAGTAAATTGTAAAAAACAAACACTCATACATTAATATAACACACAATAAAGAAACCAGTGTAGGGGAGAGATGTGATCCACGACCGGTTCATCATAGTTTATAATAACGCAGCGCAGTGAGGGTCCAAACGTTTCATAGAGGAGACAGCGTCTGTGAGTCTGTTAACAGACTCCAGTCTGCAGTGTAGTTCAGACACTTCACAGATAAACCAAAGAGCTGCAAAGTAAGTAAGAATTTAGCTTCACAATCAGATACAGTTTTTCTCACGTCCACACCTCGATCCATATCCACCCCTCTGCTGTGAGTCTGCAATTCAATCAATCAATTGATGGTTTTTATAATGCGCCATTCATCTGTTATTATAATTGCAATGCTCCAAGGTATAAGCGCACCTGGCTTTTAAAGGGAATGGGAGATGACACTCCTATTTGTTTATTGCATGTCATGCCCATAACACTGTTTCACAGACAAAAGTACAACCCTTTGGAACCATGCGCCTGGTGCACTGACCATTGTTTCCACCATTAAACTAGCAAAATTGGAGTTGGACAGGCTCCAAACGCAACCACACCATACGCTTCACACCATGCTCTTAGATCGTTAAAATAGGGCCCTTGCTGTTGTGAAGAGTAGGAGGACTCCAGGGCTGAGTGACATCACTTTTGGGTGTGGTTACAGGTTCAACAGAGCACATATCTGACCACACCCAACCACACCCATCGATGACACTGCAGCGGTCAGAGGTGAAACAGTCTTGAAACTTTCAGCCAGAGAGGACAGCAAAACACTGCTTGTCAGCCTGGCGTTAAGTTACTCTTTAACAGAAAGTGTTAAGTACACATTATTCAAAAATATGAACTCATTTTGGTTTTAGTGATTTTCTCGATCTGCCATATGGTCAAGTGTAACTTGAGGAGAGTACACAAGCCGGGGTCTGAAAATAGGTTCTCTCTCAAACACACAAACTGACAATCCCTCCAGGCATTGTAGTGGCCCGCTGTGGTCAGTCTGAGATGTTAATTACCAGTGTGTCTCGTTAGTAAGATGTGCTTTACGCAGCGGTGGGCCCAGGCCACCCCACTGTTAACCCCGCTCTCCATTAAATCTCACCAATTACTCTAATCAGCGTGAAGAAACGGAGCACTTCTTTGTAAAAATCGGCTAATTAAGACACACATGGCTGGTCATTTAGCACCGCAGAATCTGCTCTGCCAAAAACTTCAACGTCCCGTAGGAAAGCCTTTGTGAGGCCTATTCAGATCACAGAAAACACTCAAAAAGGACCCAAAGGCCATTAATTCTCTCTAACGTGTAAAGATAGGAACAAAATATAAATACAGTTTAATTCACTTCATTGTTGCACATGTGCATCTCTGTGTGTGTGTGAGACAGAGCTTCAAAGGTTAAGCTTCCTTTATAGGCAGGGAATCTGTCAGTTCAAAAGGGTTTGGCTCTCTCGTTTGAATAAAAAAACAAGTAAGAAGGAAGAGAAATAGAGGAGAGAAATGGAGAGCAGACACATAGTATGCACTTTTACATTCACCAAAAAAGGTTATTTCAGGAAGGGGGTATATTTATTTCTTTTTTTTTTTTTTTACATCAAGAGGAAAAACCTGAGCTGTGGAGGGAGACTGACCACACCAGACTTTATTTCGAACGCCCACTCCTGCTTTTCTTTTCCACTACCCACCTTTGTCTGATAATACAGAGAAAAATATGTGAGATCTGCACTGGCTTCAGGCCCTAATCATAGTCCCCTTGTCAGAGAGGAGAATAGGGACTTTCACGGCCGCTCCTTTCTGTGCTTTCTGTTGCTCGTCACTTTCGATGTGAATGATCAGATCAAAGGCGCAAAAAATGTAACTGATCAAGTGTGGGATCTTTCTCATCACATCAGAGTGCAATCACACACAAGGTGACTGCCATAGCGAGGTAAGCCGTGTCTGTGCAATGACAATTGTGTGTGTGTGTATTTGTGAGCTGGCGTGCAAACATTGTGAAATAGATTCTGCGTACGTCTATGACAGTAGTTTGTGCAACTGTGCCTATGAGTACGTGTTTTTCTGTATCAGCCAGGTACACGGAAAGGTAATCTGAGGTGCTTCTGAACCACCTGAGAATTTGACAGTCCTATTTATAAAAATAAAAAAGGAGGCAGATGGGCAGAGAAATGCTTTTTTCCTCGCCATTCACACTTGTGTTAAATTTAGCCCCATTCTGGCACAACAACAGCTGTTGGGAGCTAAGAGAGAAGAGGTGGGGGGGAGCAAAGAGAAAGGAAAAGAGTGATAAAGTGAGAGAGGGAAGACGTGACGGGAGAAGAGAAAAGGAGGCAAGTTGTGGAGAAAAAGAGGAGGTGGTGGACAGAAAATGACAGAAGGCGGGAGAGAAAAGGGAAAGACAGATCATGTAGGGAAAAAAATAATAAGGGGAAAGGCGGTGCAGGCAAAGGCTCTGGCATGTCTTCCACCAAGCCTCTCCATCCCTTGTCGGATATGTTGAGGAATGGGCCATAAAAGAGGGGGTTCAGTATGAGTGAGTGATAGATAGGGAAGATGGGGGAGGACATCCTCAGCTTGTCTAAACTCACAGTGGTGCGCCAGGCTCGGTGCCTCTTCATCACTGTCTGTCACTGTTATCACTTCTATTCCTGACACCTCAATGTCAGTGAGAGTGGAAAACCGTCACAGGGGCATTGACAGCAGGAGAGAAAATACTAAGGGAGGGCTCTGGCTTCGGATCATGTCAAGAGCTACTGAAAGGGAAGCTAGCCGAAATAGAGTGAAAAATTGATGTGTGGGTCTGCATGGTTGTGTGTTCCCCTCAGAGAGTGACTGATATACTGACATACATCCTCCTGGTATTCAAGTCAACACTCACCTGCTCCACCCAGACTCCAGATCCCTCTTCAGGAGCCCAGAGGATCATGGTTTTGTCCATGGAGGCAGAGAGCAGACTGAGAGGCTGTTTCAGCTCACCACCTTCAGGGGGAGACAAAGGGACACTGGAGAACACATGCAGGAGCAGCACACACAGTCAATCATGGTCAACTGACAACAGTCAATTGTTTGATTAGTGGCTTCAACTTCTTTGGCTTCCACTAATGCGATGTCTACTCACATTACCTGTCTAAAGTTCCACATGTCTTCAAGTTATGAGTAGTTGTCATGCTCCTTTTTCAGGTTATTTCATTTGAATACTGTGAGGACTAAAGCAGTAAAACTAATCAATATTGAACAAATAAAAAGCAAAGATAAGGGAATATTCAGAAAAAAATTCTCGAAATATGTTTTTTTCCATAACCTATTTTGTCAATCATCTCACTCAACACTCAGATTTACCTGTAGAACCACTGTATTAGGCCTTACATGGTTTATTTTTCAGGCTGCATTGTATCATGCTTTTGTCTCTACAAATTGATCAGTTGGTAGCGTACGTTACTGACATTTTGTATTTAGGATGGCTGCTCTGTTGTATCAAATCAAAGGCTTCCTGCATGTGTTTACAGGTAAAAAAAAGACTGACCAATTACAGGCAAGGCCGGGTGGGTTAATTGGTCTTCCCAAACACAGGCCATTTTTTCTACAAAGACTAACTACAAGGAGACTGCAACTGCATTTTATAAAAGGATTTCTAAAGAGATTAATTTGTGTTAGAATGTATGGTATCATGTCATATTATTATAATCTATGCTTAATGATAACACAAATGTTACAAATGTTTGTAAAGATGCAAAAATAAACGACCAAAAAAAAGTTAATAATTGCTGCATAATTGTGCAGCTTTACATGCTTAGAGTATCATGTGTGATGTACACAAAAGCTTGGATGGGTGCAAAGTGATACTGATGTAACAAGCTTTTAAGACAACCAGAGTTTAAAGAGAAGATTTAGCACATCCGGCATCCTTTCCCTTGAGAATTAAGCCAATAAGTTTTCACACCTTTTTTTCTTATTCTTTTTTCTCTAACACCTTCTCTTGCTGGCTTTTGTAAGCAATGACATCTTAAGACAAAGGGAGAGAAACAGTGTCTCTCAACTTAGCCTGGAAGCCAACCCATTTAGTTCCGCAGGCTGTAGAAACGGAATATGTGGTTGAAATGTTTAGTGGGAGCTACGTCTGATTCTGAAAGAAAAAGTTTGATTCCTGTTTGAGAAAAACTACTAAGACACTTTAGCAAGGACCCGTTGCCAATTATCTAACATTGTTGTGAATAATGATCAATCACTTCCCTGCTTTTTAATCAAGGTACCTTTGTAGAGAGGTGGCTGCCAGTGGACTCCATAGACCCAGTTCTCATGGCCTGCAAGGACCGTCTCCAGAGATACAGCAAACACTGCGCAAGAGAAAGGCAGATGATTAACTGAGTAGGTGAAAAAAATAATCTCATTTCTTTTTGTGGCCAAGTACATGTAATTCTAAATGTTCCATTAAAAATCAATTAATTATGTGTCACACTGATAAAGGTAAACACGCTTGGATCTTTATGGAGGTCGGTAACCACCATGAGCCATTAAACCATCAAAAAAGCATGTCTCTTCATTTGGTTAATTAGCGCCCTTTTTATAATCAAGCCTGTGCGGCCCGCTCACCTCTCTCCTTCACTTCAAAAAACGTCCTCTTTCATTTTGATGATGGTGTGATCGTCCTCTGTGCGGGCGTCTGTCCCAGACTTGGCACACAGCCTCCACACTCTAATGAGACAGTCCTGTGAACAGCTGGCTA